CCATTCATACCCTTCCACCGACAATTTCCTCTTGATTAGTTCTAGGCAGCACCTCACTCCGTGTATCTCACCACTCTGACGGAGCCAAATGCCTGGCATTGCTAAAAACAAATCCCATAAAACATTCTGAACTGGCTTCAAATATACAGATGCCTACATAGTAACATGAGTTTCAGATTTATTTTTTTATTCTCTCAAACTCAAGTTTTGACGACCGTGAATTCTATTAAGCTAGTGGCTGGAAAGAAGAAAGGAAAATGGACCTATGCATAGAGTTTTTAAGAAAACAGCCCAAGTACATCTTATGAAACTGAACGGAAACTGTTCAACATAATGTGAAAAACTACCCAAGAAATATTACACTTTCTATCGTACATACCTAGCAAGTTATAGATGACATAACCAACACTAAAAGACAGGCAACAGTGACCTGCCAAGCTTCTAAACTGTCCTCCAACCACTCCTCTTTAGCAACTGCTGGCAACCACACTGCTACTGTTCACACCTGCTGGAAAAAGATAGTCTGACAAACATCAGAACCACCAGCTTCCACCAAAAGGTGATAACTACAGTGTTTACCATTCAATGATTATGCTGAGAACAAGGCCTCTTTCAGCTGAAAACATGCCTAACAATATCCTTATGTATCCATTGCTCCTGTAAACACTAATATACCAAATGTTTGCTTGGATAAGAGTCAGACTGAAAGAATTGATGCCTTGGCTATACACACATTGGGGAGTGTTTCATCCATCCTACTTTATTTTCTGTAGTCCCAAAAGACATGATTTTCTGTTCCTGGTATATAACACTACATCAGAGAAGATTAGGAGAGCAATATTTATAGAAATACCAGTGTATGATTTTATTTATCTCAGTGGAAGAATGGAAGGAAGGACACACAAAGTTAGTATAGCCCTCCTCAGTATAAAGTACCAGAGGAGATTTCTGGCTAGTCCAGAAGCTCTAGAAAGGGTTCATATACAGCAAGTTCACCAGTGGCTCAAGTGTAAAGTTTTTATTTCATACTGTAATAGGCTAGTAATGCACACACCCATCACTCTCCCCAGCTGAGCAGGGGGACCTTATTACAGTGTTAATGCAAGCTGTTCGTTACTCCAGTCAAAGCAACCAAAGAAATAAGCATGTCAGTTTTGCTTAAATCACCATTGATAGCTTTCAGTGATAAGGGTCATAAAGAGGGTGTAGAAATAAATCGTGGAAGTAATTCCCTAAACTACTAGAACTGTTTTAGAAGTGACTAACAATACCTTTTGACTTGCTTCGTACTACTTCTGAGGCTTTACTTCTCAGATGCATATGCAAAACTAGACTTACTGGGGAGACTAAGGGAGCTTTCAGGTCTTGTGCTGCATGCTCCTGGGACAGTTGATGGGAGCAGCACCAACACGTGGCTACGTCAAATGCATTGCTTCTTTGAATACTCTAGCACACTTCTTCCTCAAACGCGTAACAAGTAATCATCAATACTGAACTAAATAGTAATCTTATTAACAGATGCATGTTTAAACTATTCAAAGATAAAGAGCACAAAAATACAACTCCAGTACTTCTAAAAGGGAGGCCAACTGGCCAGCCTCCTCATCGACCTCTTTCCTTTTGCTGGCTGTTATTTTCTTTCCTTATTGATGCAACCGTGAATTCCACAGAACGGAGACAATAAGAAATGCACATCCAAGCTACACGTGTCTGGTTACTTTTACTGTCATACTTGTTCACCCTCCCTCTGTAAAACCACACACGCACATACTTGTGCTTAGCAAAGACTTGCATTGTTTTAAAATTATTATACCCAAACAATGTTTTGATGCTTCCTCTTCTTCTGCCTGACAACTTGCAAAAACTCTGTTTTGCTATCAGCTAAGAAGTGAAATACAACTTACCGTAAGCAAGTAAGGACAACTTCAGATTTGTAATAAGAGAAAATACTCAGTGCAAGAACAACTGCTTCTGGAGAATGTTTTCATAGATTGTAATACCTTAGATTAATTAACTCTAGGTACTTACCATATTTGTAAAGCATGGACAGTCCTAACATATTTGCCCTAGGGTACAAAGAATTTATTCGGCTCAAGAATCAATACTATGTTGTAAGACTTGCTTTTAAAATTAACTTTTTTAAGGGTAAGAAATGGCTTTCTAAGCACAGCTGAAAGATATCAGCTTATAAAATGTATTTCTCCTTTGACCAATTTCTGTACTCTGCTCCTTATTTGGAAAAGTGATGTACTCATTGAAAGGTTTCTTAAAAAGTAGTGACACTCTCCGCCTTGAAAACTGTTTCTCATGTTATGGTGATTTAAGTACCTTTCATAGCTCCAGCAGCCCTGTATGTGTGAGCACACCGAAATACAGGTACACATTTTTCTTTCCTAGAATAAGGTAATCAATCTGAAGACAAATTAAAGCATCATAGAAATAAATTTTCAATTAGCATAAGAATTATCAATAACACTCAATACTAGAGGTAAAATGCAGTTTGATATTAGAAATGTATGAGATGTATGAAATCATTATGTTTCCAGACTCAGCGGTATGGCTCCCAATAAACTAGCAGGTCATACATGTTAACAAACTTACAACAAATTAAAAAAAAAAAAATCTGTGCAATTATACCAGTTTCTTCTAGTGAAAAATTAAAAATGCATGGCATTTTTGGATGTCTTCGCTTTTTATAGTTTGCCCCTCCTGTTAATACCCACTAGCACTTTGTATTTTGAAATGACACTTGCCAGATGTATTGAGTCGCCAGGTTGTAGCAGTACACTATAAGCTGCATCACTGCGTGCCAGCAATGACTTCAGTGACCTAACCCAGCTACAGAGGGCTGAATCTTCGCACTACTTTTTTTCCTTAGGGGGAAGGTGTGAGTCGTAAAGTAGAATTCAAAATGTTTCCCAGCTATAGCCATGTTTCCCAAGAGGCACTGAAAAGTCTGAGTTTGTGTATAATTATGAAAGACATTGTCTGGGGATGCCAACTGCGCTGAAATATATGAATGTTTTTAACTCACTAAACATGTCTCAACTGAACAGCATGCTTATCTAAAAAAACAAAATATTACTTTTGATGTTTTAGGTATGCAAAAATTCAGAGATAAGGTAATGCTAAAACCTTACACGTTTGGGCTAGAGCAGTAAAGTTTTTGTTTTGTCTGTGAAGTGATTCTGAAAATAAATTTGTTGAGGCTTTTTCAAACTCAGTCTTAAAATTTTGCTACTGCAATCTGTATTTTAATAAAGCTTTTATTAACCCTTTTATGAAGAAACAAGCTTAAAATCTGTTGACTCATACACCAGTTACCAGATAAAATACATTTGATTCCAGAAGCTTTGGTGTCACTGTTAGTTTGTTTTCTGGAGAAAGGATCTGATGATTCAATGTTCAGGCAATATTTTTTCTATTGTGTCATAGAATACTGCCTCTATTCTATTTTTGTCGTACGAAGTAATGAATTACTTTTTATAAAGCACGGAAACATTTCACACTGAAATAGATTAAAAGTCACTCCAGTCAAAATCTATGCTAATGTGTCTCCTGTTTACTACACTTAGTGCCACTATTAGCACCTTTGCTGTCTCCCAACACACATTACAGCTCTGAACTAGCACTTTAGACAATGACCTACTGCACCATATCATGATCAGCTAAAAACCCCACTTCTTTAAGACAAATCCATTTAAAAATCTAGATCTTAGTGCAGTGGGATGAAATACCATACATATGGAAGAAGTGTTTAGTGCCCTTCATTGTTTATTGCCCTTTATTTGCCCTCAGCAAAATCCACATGAGGAAAATATATTGCCACTTCTTGATGCATTTCCTAATTAACTATAGCAAGTTTACCATACCCTCCAGATCACATATGAATGCGATGCCACTTAAGAAATAAGGGACAGCAACAATCTGAGAGTCGGAGAGAAACCTTTCATACAGTGAAGAATTAGAAAAAAGAAGGAAAAAGTTCCCCCCAAAGGGGTTTTTCCTTTAAAATTAATTCTTGATTTGTGGACTTTTAGTAGGTGATGAAATATCACACAATCTAAAAAAATATTGCAAATAATATATATCTACCTATAAATTTTTATATGCACACAAATAAAATTTGGCAAAAATAGAACATTTAAAGTTAACTTCATATTTATCCTGTCAATGATAATTGCAGACGTAGCCACGAGGAAGCTCTTTTCTGCAGCAGGCATCCGGTGCGTTCACACACTTAATGCTATTAAACTCCAACTACTTCCAGTGGTAGAGTTAGTACCTTTTAAAATTATACTTTGCTTATGTAAGAGTGAACAGTCACTGTGCCATCCTTGATGAACAACACAGGACATGAAATAGCCCATGGATTTCTTGTCCCGCCCAAATAGCTAGAAATCTAATTGGGGCAAAGGAAAACAAAATATGATAAATACAACCATATGAGTCAGGAGGGAAAACAAAAAAAAAAAAAGCAGTATGAGCTTATGTGGAAGCAAACATAGGTACCTATCCATGTAGTGTTTCTGCCCAATGCATTACTGAAACAACTTTTTTTCAATTACCAGTCTGCTATATTCTTTCCCATTAATAGGGTGGTTTCACAAGCCACTGAGCTATATCTTTGATGTTCATGATAACCATTCCTAACTCTTTGTGAACTCCACTACTTAAATCCCCTCAAATGTCTGTTTATTTTCTCCTGTTACATATTCCTAAAGCATGAGATTAGCAGACACAGAGTAGGCCTTCAGGCACTAAGAATGTAAGTTAGCCTAATCTCAAGAAAACAAGATGTGCACTTAACCATAAATTTTTTTTTATAATCACAGCAAACATAACATACCTGGTATTCAGTTTTATATAAATCAGTTCTTATGTCAGATCTACTTCTGAGGTTATCCAAAACCCAAACACATAACATTATTTTTACTCTGAATAATATTTACAGACATTAATGCTCTATCCATTTCTACAATCATTCGAGACACATTATATAACTTTATTTTTTTTATTTGACAAGCAGCAGTATCATGTTCGTCATTTTTTTTTACATTTTAATGTAGATACAATTATTAGGTTATCTGTCATATTACAATATTTAGGGTTTTTTTGTGTGGTTTTTTTTTTTTTTTACTTTGTCTTAAGATACATTAAAAAACATCAACTGCAAACGTGAAAGGGGAGGAAAAAAAAAAAGCATGGTACCCAACCAATTTTCCACATTTCAGCAATACTTCACTCATTCTTTTAGTAAAGTTTTAAGAAATGTCATAATGACATGAGCTTGAAATATCTATAGGCATTTTCATTGACGCTCATGACATGGCACTGGTGATGTTGTAAACAGCAGAAAAACAGGGGCTGCCAAGTGACCAATTATGGAGGCACAGGCCTGCCTCTTCCCACAGGAACACACCAAACAGTGACAGCAATGATCTCCTTACAATCATACCTGCAGGATAGCAACATCATGCTACATAACTGTATTCGTCTGCAGAGGCCTGGCTTCGCTCTATGTACTGTTTGTCTATCAGAACTTCAATACACTTCTTAATCATGCTGATACTTGGGTTAAACCTAGCTCTTGATTGGCTAATTACCTGCAAACGAAAGACACGGGTTTTGTGTTATTTTTATTTACAAGTTATAAATACTTTAGAAATATGCGCTAAGGGCTTTAAGGCAAATGCAGTATATTTTTCTTTTAAAGACAGGATTAAATAAACATGGAATAGTTCATTTATAACAATCAGCAAAGCATCTCTGTACATTAGTGTCGGGACACTTAAACTGACTGCTCAGCTCATTGGTTAGTTTGCCTGCACGTTAACCAGATCTTTTCAGTCCTCTCGCTTGCTTAATTTGTCACGGTACAAATGAGGATAAATATTCAGGTTAAAAATTAATCTAATATTAAAGCATTTCTTCACTTTATTATTATCACAGTTTAAGCAAAGTGAAAATTTTGTAAAACCATATGTGCCTTTCCATGCTGGCTCTGCTAACTGACTTCTCTTCCTAGACTAGGTCCCTTTTACTTCCGTTTATGTACTTTCATTGTTCTGGAATATTTGATTTATGGACTCCCAAATTTTGTCTGAGTTACGTCAGTCTCACTTGGAAATTAAATGCCTGAAGAATGTGTTAATCTTAGTTTTCATAATAGTTTATACAATTCTGAATGGTTAAATTCCACTTGATGGTATTTTTCAAAACTACCTCTGAAGTTGAACACAATTTTCTTCTCAACCATCACCACTTTTGTTACCATAAAAAGATAGAGAAGACATTTTCATTTAATAAAGATTTGTTTAATACTATAAAGAAAACACAGGTTTCAAAGACATGTTTAGAAGACATGTAAACAGGGACGTAGCAAATTACAAAAAATCTGACTATAACGTTTTAGTAAGACCTTATTCATTCTTGAATAGCACAGTTTAAATATATTAAAAATGCAACCTATCCTCAGAGATTCTACTGCACTAGACAATCAAATTTGCAAGAAAAAATAACACTTCTTTTTCAGGAAATTTGCTGAAAAGCCCTAGATGACACTTTTCATCAGAAAAGACACAGCCCAAGAGGTAATCATTTTGTAAAGTTACGCTACTTTATTGCTCTTGCAGCTGCCAGGATGTGAGATGTGAGCTGGATTTGTTGTGTTTTGTCTAAGTTCCAGCCCGTGTAATGCTGTATACCTGGTCCTGGAAGGCACACAAACTGCTCAGCTGCCCGGAAAGTGTAAATGGAGTCCCCCTACCACTGACCTCCTTTCCTATACAACTTGAGACAATCAGGATGAACCTCTCTTTCTTCAGTCACTGAAGATAGCCCTACAATTTGGCAAGTTCCATCTGGCTATGCTGGAACTTTGTAATACATACAGTAAAAAATTATTTATTGTAAAAGCAAATCTATATATGCGTTGTGGAAGAAACCGCCACTGCAGGCAAAACTTCAGATGTCTCTTAATAGTTCTCAGTTTTGCCCATTCTCTTGTAGACAAGAGGAGGAAATGGTGTGTAGTAACAGAATATGTATATCTATTAACTTGGAAAATTTCTCAAACAAAAGATCTTACTACTCCAGTGTCACAATATATTTTGCCTGTAGTTTCTCATTTATTCTGTAAAGAAAGTCGTTTTTATTTCAGCTGGATTTCCTGTTTTCTTTACAACTTTTCATGTCTGGCTTTGTCCCAGCTCTAGAGCTTGCTAGGGCTCCCTCTGTGAGCCAACAGAACTCACCAGGTAGAACTCACTTAGCAAAGCAAACAAAAAGCTCAGAAGAGTGAGTTGGGTTGGGCTAGCAGCCAAGGGTCTGGTATGTTCCACAGCAGCACAAATGAGAAGAAACTGGGTGCTAACATGCTAATAGATCTGCTCAGATTTCACCTAACTTCAGTCCTACACTCAAATGGATTGTCATCATCATCCTTCATGTATCTACTTAGGGCAGAGAAAACAAAAGATAGAATTTTATATTGATAAGGAGTTTTTTGTTTTAGTTTTGTTTTATCAAAGATAATACAAATAAGAAGGATGGATAGAAATACCCGATGGTCAGAATAAAACATTTTCAGGGAATGACTGCATTGACCTTTCCCCTCCACTACGCCCACTGACCAATGAATAACATTTTAAGGGAAAAGCTACCTCATCCTGCAAGCGACTGCAGCATGGAGCTAAAAGTAACACTATCAGGGCTTATCTAACACAATTAACAATTCAGCAAAGACCACGTGCTGACATATACAGGTCTACCAAGGGCCTTGAGTATTTTCTTGGACACCTCACCGTAAATGAAATGTGTGGTGCTGTAGTCTAACTGTTAGAATCGGAGCTAACTGCATTAAGGCTAGGAGTCTTTCAATCATATCTCTAACAACAGTATAATCCTGCCCTTGTATCTCAGAAAAAAATATTAATGAGGCGAGAAAATATTAACCATTCATAGTAAACCGACTTCCTTTCAAAAGATTCATTCTTACTTCTCAAGAAATCAGACTAGAAATTTTAAGTGAATACATTATATATAAGTATATAAACATCATGATAGAAGTAACGTCACCATAATTAGTAACAATATCACAAATGAATGTTTTGAGAAATAAAAGGGCTTTTGGCAGTAAATCAAATCTTACTATAAAGGTTAAAAGGGGAAAAAAAAAGGAAGTTGGACAGCCAAGAAGTTAGTTATGCATACTGTAAAAGTTTCATACAAGTGATGGTTATTCATTTTTTAATAAAGGTCAGTCTAGTGAGAAAGCTGAGCGTGTTCAACTCAGAACCACCTGGCAGTTTCGTCTTATTCATACAACATGAAGCAAAACAAGTTACTGAGCTCCATGCAGACATAACTAGGTAAAATTTCCATTTAACATGAGATTTTCATCTTTGTGTTTAAGCATTAACTATGCAAAAACGTGTCTCCCCACAATTTGCTCTAAAACCTGGCAATAATTTCTGAAGTGCCTAAGAGTACATCTGTATCACAGACTGTAGAGACGGCACCTAACATTTTAAAGAATCAAGCTCAGGTTCCAGTAACAGTTTAGCTGAGGCAGCATGGAGATTGGCACAAATTATTCCAGAGTACAAAAAAAGAAGGAAAAATTAACCCTACTGCATTTTTTTGTACTGCTTCACCTTATTGCTTGAGGTTTCACAAATACTCGTTTAAGGCTACATCAGGTCCCCACACTATACTGCAGCATAGATATCAATTATTTAGAAGCCAAGACTTCAGTTTTAAATGCTCTAATCCATCTAGGATATAAGTGGTATTCAAAATTGAGAACTAAAGACTAAATGATAAAGGATACGATTTTCCAAAGTGTCATAAATTTAGTTAAAAGCTAAGGTAAAAAACCAATACAGGTGGATGTGGCTGGTGATAGATAAATGGAGCACCAAATTTACTCTCTTAGTTTTTAACTGAGTAACAATCCAAATATCCACATTTCTTGCAAAGCATGGAAAAGCTCCTGATATTAATAGACCATATTATTCCACAAGAGTACTGCAAGAGCAAAATGCAGCAGAAGCACGTCAGATAGTGCCTTCTGAGTTAAATAAAGGAAGAAGCAACCAGAAAGGAATTTTTTTTTCCAAAATATAAAAATTTTTAATCTATTCCACCCTTATAAACTGGTCTCAAGCAAAGTACACTTTGAAAACTTTTTCTAAGAATTTGAGAGTAGGGAGAAAAAAGTATTTTTGAAGATGAAACAGGACTTGCCTACTATCTTCTAGTTTTAACTGAAAATCCTTACAGGATTTAATCATAATTGCATGGATGATTTAAGTAACAGGAAACCAAATAACCAAAAACTTTGAGAAGTAATCAGGACCTATGCTGCCTCACCTTTTAGATATTCAAAATCAGATTTCTTAAATTAAGCTTGCTTTCAGAGTATTTGTGTACAAGCACTATTTCAATATCCAAAACATTTAAGATGTCTCACATTGCATGTTCTGGGCTTACAAGCTCTCTGTAGCTGCTTATTTTTTTTAGGAAATAAAAAATAAGCGGTGGGTGTGGTAAACTGTTTCCTCCATCACCACAAGACAAAAAGCATACAGCAGATCTCAAAATGACCGAATGCCTCTCCACCTCCATGCTCAAAATGGTCCAATAAAGTAGGAATCTTACTCCCTCCCCAACCAGTCTGCTCTGAAGCTATCCAGCAAGGCTCAGGAGACAGAGGAATGAATTAGACTGAAGAACAAACGCCTTGGAAGGCTGAGAAAACTAAAAATGGGAACTGGTTGGTAGGAGCAAAGGTTAGATTGGAATAAGACATACAATCAGCCAGGCAACTAGCACAGATAGGAGTGTGAGAAAAACTAAAGAAATAGCACTTCCTTCCCAGCCAGTCTGTGATAGTTCACAGATCATTAATCTAGAATCTAAAAAATCTAGACAACTGTACCGCTTAACGGAAAAGGGAGATTAAGAAGTGCATGTCTACATACTCAGACAACTTCTAAAATTTAAGCCATAAATTAGAATAAAGTCACGATTAGAGCTCAAAATTGGCTAGGTGCTTCTGTGGAAATTCCATACCTGGAATATCCATACTCAGTTTTTCAGTTGAACCTATAGCTTTGGCAATGGTTCTTTATAGGATACGTCATCTGTTGGCATAGAACCAGCCAACAGGAAAGAGCAAGCACAGAGGCACTTAATGCTTTACTGCTAAGACACGTTTACAAGATTGAGGGATCACAGCTAGTGCTCCAGTACTGCACTAGACTCCAATGAAATTAGTATGAAATCAAAGTAGACTCCAATGAAATTCTCACTAATTTCACTGAAGTATTAGTTTTGACATGGGAGAATTTTGTGGTCAGATGTTTTACTCAACTATCCTGAAGATTTTCATCAAGTCACGTTTAAGAAGAGGATTTCATCTTACCTCCTGAATAAGAGCATTATGTCGCAACACTTTACGTGCTTTCATGATACGGACTATAGCAGCTTGAAGATACATTTTTCTGTCTTCATCTACAGCACTTCTGGTCTGCTCCATCTCCTGCGATATCAAAAGAACAGTAATGCTTAGAATGTAGTAAGATCAATAAACACTTCATAAAAGTATCCTGAATCTATACTTTTTACTTTATTAAAGGTGGTCAATTAATACAAAAATCTAGGTGAAGTTCAATTCCAGGCAAAGTACTTCTGTAAATTAAGAATAA